GTAGAGGATTTAAATAAATACGTGTGTGCACTGATTCTGTTTCAGACTCTCTTTGAGGGGCCCAGGATCAAGCTGGAGAAAAAGCACGAAGCCCTGGCTCTGGGGGCCCTGATGCCTCCTGCGTCACCACGCACAGCCCTGGCTCTGCCACACTTTGCTTCCCTTAGTTTCCTTTTAGCTGCGTTTTCTTATTTATCTGAAACTTGTTTTATTGTGCCACAATAAATCCACTGTGGAACAAGGAAGGGCATAAATAAATAGGGCAACAAAACACATACATCATACTCAGGGTTCCCTGGGTGTCCTGCGTCCTTCACAGACAATGTGTGCTCTTCCAGGATTGCTCTTGGCTCTTCCTCCATCCATCAAACTCCTAGTCATCCGTCATGGCCAGTCCAAAGCTTCCCTGTGTCCTGAAACTCCTACCCAGCACCTCACCCTGCCCTGCCAACGACCACCCTCCTCCTCTGAGCTCATTTAGCAGCTGGCATGTCTTTCTGGGCCTCACGTCTGATGTTGCAACGTGATTCTTACCCATTCCTCTAGGGGAAGCGCATCGTCCCGTTCGGTTCTGGGTCTCTGGACACGGCATGATGCCAGCCCACAGAACAGACTCGGACGTGCTGCTGAGTGTGAACACGACTGTCTCAGAGTGAAAACGTAACGCTAAACTCGATCTTCTAAACTCCTTGTCCACCGTGGCCAGCTGAGGGTCATTTCTCCAGCAGCAGCCTCTTTTAGGCCACCCTAAAGCATCCAGCCTTCTGGTCATAGCTGGTTTGGAGCTTGAAGCCTCCTGATGGTTTAGGTGTAGACTGAAGGAGAAGGGCCACACTACTTCTGCTTTGTCACTCCCAAGAAATCCAGAAATTATCTAGGCAGTGACTCAACAGCCGTGTCCTGGATGAGGAGTTCGCTTCTGCAGAAATGTCAGACCACAGTTCCTAGAACTAACTGTTCCTTCAGGTTTGTCCTGAATTTCTAGACAATCCAGCACCAGCTACGATTTACTTAGATGCTTATAAGATTTCTGTGTTTTCAAGGCCTGATGGAAGTGCCTGTGAGGGCTGGGTCCCGGGACACTGCCTGATGGGAGATGGCAAACCGGTGCCCCCGCAGCGAGGGCTGAGGCAGGGAGGAGCAGACAGAACATTCAGAGAAAAGGGGTGAGAGAGGCAAGAGGGGGGTGTTAGTGAGGCAATTCCGTGTCTCCTCCTTTACACCGTGTCAACACACGTATCATGTATTTATCATGTTACATTATGGCTTCTGGTTGGTATGAGAAACAGCTGCCACGTGGTGCTACGGAAGGCACACAGCCTGGCTGCCAGGGAGGTGTTTACCCTGGAGTGCCGGGAATGCCGACGTGGACACACACAGGTCATCCCGCCAGAGTCCACACATGGCCCACGGTGGGCACATCTGTGCACTGGGGGGTGGAAGGCAGGTGGGGAAGGGCCTGCCTCTCACACTCACGTCCGTGTGACGTCCTCACTGGAAGCTGCATTAGGAATCAGACCAGTGGCTTTCCCAGAAGATTTACGGGAACGAAAAGTAGGCACGAGACATCCACAGCACATTCCCACAGCACGTATTTACAGAAAATTCACCGAACCCTTGAAGTATCCACTGTTGGCTGTGGATGGTTTCGTTGATGTCATTTTTGAGTTGGTGACAGGTGGATGAGGGCTGATGCTAGGAACGCTGGGTCACCGTGTTGGCTCTGGGGGAGCTTCCAGGGCTGCGTGGAGCGGCAGCTGCTGACCAGTGTGGCTTCTCAGCTTAATCAGCTCAGCTGTGCAGCTAAAAGCTGTCCATTTTCATCACAGGAAACAGGTCCTCTGCTTTCAAGGCAGCCCATCAGAACGTCCAGAACCGCACCGAGGAGAAACACACTGACATCACTGCGTCACTCTTTCCGGTCCAGGCACGAGCTGTTTGGGGCTCTCAGGGGCGCAGAGGTCTCTCGGTGAAATCTGGACACCGTGGGCCTTCCTCATGCAGGGAAGCCGCTTCCCCGGCCGTGCTGGCCCCTGAGCCGCCGCATCTGCACCTTCAGCAGCCTGGGGCCAAGCCTCGCAGTGGGAGGCAAGGATGCACCTGGGACCTGAGCTTCTGTTCCGCCTGCTCTGCTAGAGAAGTTCAGGTGGAGATGGACCACCCCGCGTCTTACCTCCTCTGAAAGAAAGTTCCCCATTAAAATCAGGTGTGAGAATAGGTGAGAATCATAAGAAACCGAATTTGAGGCAAGTCTCACATATGCAAGTCCAGACCTGCCGGGGGAGCCCGCGGTTACATCAGCACACAAATTACCTCCGAGTGCCTTTCTCACTCCACGGGCACTGCCTATTATGAGGGCTTGATATGGACTCCACAGGCGCTCAGGCAATGGGGGTGTCTGGGCGAATAAACCCTGCACACAGGACTTACAGGAGGAGAAACAGGGTGTGAACTCCGTCCGTGGAAGAACTCGCAAAACATCGCCATTTAGACCGTCGGACAATGGGACGGGAAAGTGTCAGGGATGAGATCACAGTTGGATAAATGAAGACTGTGCTGGACATTAGAATGTGACAGCAAAACCTCTTCAACCTCTGCTTCCTCCTCCCTGGGGAAGGGAGATGCCCACACCCCAGCCCTGCCTGTCCCCGTGTCCTGAGACTCGAGGCGCCACACTCTGCACAGCCCACCAGGGCTCTGCTCCTCCTCGCCAGGGTAGCAGCGGGTTTCTCCTCCCTCCATCTCTGAAAGGTGCAGGCGGCAGTCTGTGGAGGCTTCTGGATGGTCCCTGATGTCTCTCCTTGTGCTCATGCCTGCAGCCGGGAATCCATCTGCTTAGGAGGAACAGACCCCCAGGAGGTGTGAAGAGCCTGACCTTCTCCAGACACCCTCGTTTTCAACGCCTCGGGAGGTGCCACAGGGCTGCCCCCGCCCCGGCGCGCCACACCATTGGAGGAAGGTGGGCCTGCTGTGAGGGGCCACGTGCTGTGGACGGGAGTGGGCTCTGCTGGGGGCTCTGCTGGGGGCTCTGAGGAAACACCAGCAAGTGGTCCCACTCCAGACATGCCCGGTGCTTTCAACACGCATGTCTGCTGCACCCAGCAGGAAGCTGATGTGCTCATTCGTTCCAGCCACGCTGATGTGACGCTCAGCTAGGAACGGTCCAGGACCCTAGAGAGCTACCTGCAGCCTCCATGGCTTTGCCTTGCCTGGGGTGTGAGAGGTGAGGCTGAGCTCACCAGTGACTCCGAGGTGATTTCTGAACGCTCCTTGTGTCTGCAGGCCGAGCCTGTGGAGGCCAAAGGCTGGTCACGTGGATGTGGGGCCTGGAGGGGAGGACTGTGCTTCTCAGAGTATGTGTGACAGCCAGGGGCAGAGAAGCTCCCTGTGATAGCAAGTGTGTGTGCATCTGTAGGAGTGTGCGTGCACTGACACACATGCAGATATGAGAACACAGAAGTATATACGCTGTCACACACACGCATATACGCACACATGCGGACACACACACTGACACACACGTGCAGATATATGTACACAGATGTATATATACACACACACATACACACATGCATATACTCACACATGTGGACACACACACCATCACAAGCACACAATGCACATAAACACAAATACACTCACATTTGCGCACGCACACACACTCTCACACACCCCCATTTCTACACCAGGACACACATTGGCTGCGGTAAGGGAAGGCGGCTGTTGGGAATGGGCTGCGCCAGGCCGTGGAAACCCCTTGCAGAGGGCTGCATCCCCACACTGGTTCAGAAGATGCTGCCGCCCGCTCCCAGCCCTGGCCCACCCTGGGGCTGTTTGGGGGGTTGGCAGGAGGTGGCTGTGCCCTCCCCGGTGGCTCCCTAGGGACTGTTTGCTGACACGCGGCCCCCGACCCCAGCGTTGCTCTAGTGGGAAGGTTGCAGGCCTGAGAGGAGGGACCCATGGCCGCTCTCCCTCTGCCCCTGCCTGTTCACAGATCCCAGAAAGGTGCACGGATTTACACGTATCTGGGATGTGAGAGGTTTGCCCAGGCCGTGAGCAAACCAAGACACGTTTTAAATGTCGGAAGGACCCTTTTGTAAGTGGGTCATCTTTCACGTCTGGGATACTTTAACCACGTTTGTCATATCTCCAATATGTTGCCACCAAACTGAGATTAAAGAAGCATCCAAGAAAAACACAAGACGGATTCTATCATCAAACACTGAGGTGGATGAACAACAAAGACTCCAAACGCAAAGAGTTTACGAAGAGTGTCCAGATCCCCACCCCCGAGGTCATCAGAAAAGGTTTCCGGGGCAGGAGGAGTCTGTCGTTTGCCCGGCACGATATCTGGAAGGACGGCTGGTTTGTGAAGGGGAGGGAGGGACACGTTTCGGGCTGGGGTCTGTAGGAAAGGCCTGTGACCTGCCCGCTAGCCCACTCCGGGCTGTGAAATGGGTGTGTGAGGAGAGCATGCAGCCGACCCACCCAACCAGTGTAACCCCAGACACTGTGGCTCCCAGGACCTCTGAAGGAATCTGTGGCCTTACTTACAGCACACAGTATGGCTTTGATCAGCAAATCAGTGCCGCATCGCTAGATTCCTGTCAACTAAGAATCCACTTTCCCAGTGTGCTGTGATAGCCATTTGATTATTAACACAGATGAAAGAAAGTGTGTATGAGTATCCAGCACGTGGCTAAGCCAGCCAGGAGCAGCCTGTCCTCCCTGACATTGCAGTCCCTTCACGTTCCTGTGAAGTGGTGCTCCCACCCAGAACTCGGTCCCTGTGAAGTGGTGCTCCCACCCTGAACTCAGTCACTGTGAAGCGGTGCTCCCACCCTGAACTCGGTCACTGTGAAGCGGTGCTCCACCCTGAACTCGGGTCACTGTGAGCGGTGCTCCCACGGAACTGGTCACTGTGAGCAGTTACTCCCACCGAACTTCGGTCACTGTGGCAGTGCTCCCACCGGAACTTCCGGTCACTGTGGCGGGTGCTCCCCACCCGGAACTCGGTCACTGTGAAGTTGCTCCCACCGGAACTTCGGTCACTGTGAGCGGTGCTCCCACCTGAACTCGGTCACTGTGGCGGTGCTCCACCTGAACCGGTCACTGTGGCGGTGCTCCCACCGGAACTTGGTCCTGTGAAGCAGTGCTCCCACCTGGACTGGGGAACTCCATCCCTGTGAAGCGGTGCTCCACACCACGCCTTAGGCGTCAGCACCACGGCCAGCACCTGCACGGCTCCTGCCATCACCTCCTCACTCCCAGGCCACATCTCTACGCAGGAGCAAGACAGAAAGAAACCTCGGCCCCAAATGAGGGACCGTGACCTGCCACAAGCATGGGACATGGAGCAAAGCAGCTTTAATGGACACTCATTCTGTCCCCATGGTGGCGGGGCGGTCCGCAGCTCTCACTCAGTCCCAGCCCCAGTCAGACAGCCATGTGAACCAGACGGGGAGGGTGCTCCCACCCTGAACTCGGTCACTGTGAAGCGGTGCTCCCACCCGGAACTTGGTCCCTGTGAAGCAGTGCTCCCACCTGGACTGGGAACTCCATCCCTGTGAAGCGGTGCTCCCACCCGCCCTGGGCGTCAGCACCACGGCCAGCACCTGCCGGCTCCTGCCATCACCTCCTCACTCCCAGAGCCACATCTCTCGCAGGAGCAAGACAGAAAGAAACCTCGGCCCCAAATGAGGGACCGTGACCTGCCACAAGCATGGGACATGGAGCAAAGCCGCTTTAATGGACACTCATTCTGTCCCCATCGTGGGGCGGTCCGCAGCTCACTCAGTCCCAGCCCCAGTCAGACAACCAAGTGAACCAGACGGGGAGAGGAAGCTCTGGGGTCCTACTGCACGGCAGGGTGACTACGGCTTGCAGCAATGAGTTGTGCATTTCAGAAGAGCTAGAAGACAAGGTTCTGAAATGTCCTAGGCCTGTTTGGTATGAGACACATGGTGGGAAATCCAGCCCCAGTTTGACAGGGCTCACAACAGTGCTAGCTTGGGCTCAGGCAGGTGCAGCCGGGGCTAATGCACCCCCAGCCCCAGGGTCTCTGCTGTTAGAAGGTGGCCTCATGCACGGCTCATCTTCATTCACCCCCGGGGTCTCTGCTGTTAGAAGGCGGCCTCATGTAGGGCCCGTCTTCATTCCCCTCGGCTACCTCAGGACCCGACACAGAACCAGGATGGGTAGACAGTCAGTAAGCGTCTACTGAATCGAATTTCCCCAAATAGAATTCACTTGCTCTTTGAACATGCACACACATGCACAGACTCTCTAAATGAAACACTTGGGAAGAAAGAACTGCAAAATTTCAGAAATCATAGAAATAATATTTTGATCTAAAATGACCTTAAAAATGGATCTGGCTGAATCTAACCAATTGGTGAATAAAACATCGAAAATGGATATGGATTCTAAATGAAATGCCATTTAATCTCAGTCAGCCGGAAAGTTCAGGAATGCGGCATTCACGGGCACACCTGTGCGATGATTGAGAGTAAACATCATTCTGTGAAACAATTTCAGAAATTAAAGATACTTTTAAAGACTGACTAAAAGACATTGTTTTTAACCCATAAAGGTTTCTCCAAGTCTCTTGAGGACCCCAGGCTGATCTGGGCCCAGTTTGGTCCGTACATTTGAATCTGTCCCCTTCTGAAGACTTTTCTTCCCGCTCGCCTGTCGCAGTTTAGCTGAGTCATCATCAGAGCAGCACACATGTGCCCAGCACGTGGACTCTGCCTCCAGCTCTAAGGCTGAGAAGAACCTTCCGCATATAATCCACAACACAGCTACTCAGAGTGTTGCAGAGAACCAGACACTGTATTCTTTATTTCATGCCATTTCCCGAAAGTTTCTACCACGTGTCTCAGCAAACCACCGAAGTGTGTGCACATGAGCATCTGTGTTCCGCCTTTCTCAGAAACACAGCTCTACGTAAACACCCCAACACGTAAGCGGCATCCCGACGTTTCCACCATCTCCCATTATTATGGGGCGCTTCGTTCATTTTGCTGTCTGTGGTTGTTGATCTGTCTTTACTAAGAGTTTTTAAAAAGAGTGAATAATGGTGATCGCTAAATTTAAGAATATTAACTGTAAGCCTGGGCGCAGTGGCTTCTGCCTGTAATCCCAGCACTTTGGGAGGCCAAGGCGGGCAGATCACCTGAGGTCAGGAGTTCAAGACCAGCCTGGCCAACATGGTGAAACCCTGTCTCTACTAAAAAAAAAAAAAAAAAAAAAATTACAAAAATTAGTCAGACATGGTGGTGTGAGCCTGTAACCCCAGCTACTCGGGAGACTGAGGCAAGAGAATAGCTTGAACACAGGAGGCGGAGGTTGCAGTGAGCTGAGACTGTGCCATTGCACTTCAGCCTGAGCAACAGAGTGAGACTCCATCTCAAAAATAATAATATTAAATGTACAGCACTTTGGGAGGCTGAAGTGGGTGGATCATGAGGTCAGGAGTTTGAGACCAGCCTGGCCAATAAGGTGAAATCCTGTCTCTACTAAAAAAATTTAAAAATTAGCCTGGTGTGGTGGTGCATGTCTGTAGTCCCAGCTACTTGGGAGGCTGAGGCAGGAGAATAGCTTGAACCTGGGAGGCAGAGGTTAGAGTGAGCGGAGATCGCACCACTGCACTCCAGCCTGGGCAACAGAGTGAGACTCTGTCTCCAAAAAGAAAAAAATAAAAAAAATAACTGTAAATAGGCCCTTGTTACAGAAAAACAGTCTCAGCCTCACCCATGAAGCCTGAAGGGCTCTGCTCTGTCTCCAGGGCCCAAAGACACGAACCAGCAATCCCTGTGGTCTTGTACAGTCTGAGGAAGATGCATCAGAATTAATGAAAAAGTGGAGAATGGATTCATTTACAAGCATGTTAATTAATTAATTAATTTATGTATTTATTTTGAGATGGAGTCTCACTCTGTCGCCCAGGCTGGAATACAGTGGCACAATCTTAGTTCACTGCAACCTCTGCCTCTTGGGTTCAAGCGATTTTCCTGCCTCAGCCTCTTGAGTACCTGGGATTACAGGTGTGCACCAGCACACCTGGCTATAGTAGAGACAAGGTTTCACCATGTTGGTCAGGCTGGTCTCAAACTCCTGACCTGATGATCCGCCTGCCTTGGCCTCCCAAAGTGCTGGGATTACTGGCGTGAGCCACTGTGCCTGGCCGACAAGCATGTGATTTTAAGAACACTACTTGCATGAATATAAAATGCATCCCCTCAAAAATAAACGGTAAACAGCTGCCCTGCCCTGAAGTCACCTTTGTCACAGGCCTGGCCGCCAATCTCAGCGGTCAGTGAAAAGTGAAAAGGCAGATCCCCTTGTTACTGAAAAATTATTAAGAAAGACAGGACTTCAGCAGCAGAGCATTAAGCCCAGCACAGGGCCCTCTTGTGTGGCTCTCAGGCCAAGGGAGCCACCTGCCCATCACTGCTGGAAGGCTGAGCGCCTTGGGCCAGCGTCCCTGGGCATCAGGAAGGTGCCGCTCCAGAGCACGGCAGCTTCGCACACATCACAGCAAAGATGGGGGCTTCGTCTTCTTCCTGTGGGCAGCGTGCCTTTGAAATTAAAAAGCCAGAAGCCTTTCAGCTGGTCAGAGACACATTTTATGTTATTCTACACACTAAAATGATATACATTTATTATTGTTCTAACCCACTGTGTCAAAACAATGGCTTTCAAATAAGATTCAAGCTAATTTCTAGCAGAATGTAATGATTTTCCTGTTGCTGCCTCCATTCCACTAGTCGGATGATACCGGCTTCTACTTCAAGTAAGAGAACAATGACCCCTCTAAGGGCCAACGCGTCACCTCCCTGCGAGTCCAGCACAAGCGGGTCACATGGCGCGTCTTCATCTACACTGTGTGGCCACCTGTATACACACTGTCTTTTCTTTTTATTTTCTGTTTTTTACTGATACGTTTGCTTTGCCTAAAACTGTCACATAGGAATCATTCAGTTTTACTGCATATTTGGCTTGCTTTCTAGTTACCAGAATTTACTGAAGCACATATTTCTTGTATTTCCCAGTGTCTGGAGATTTTGTTTCTTCCCAGAGTTGATAGAAAATGAGTGCCCGTCTGAAGTCTGGGCTATGCTATTGGACTTCAGAATACCTCTTATAGCACTCAAAGGGAGGAAACTCGTCTCCCCCTGAGGCCACGTGACCTTGCAGTGTGTGTGGTGGACACGATCCACCAGGCAGCAGGTACCACGGGGCACACACAGGCTGCTTGGCTCCTGACTGCGAGCACCCAGACGCCCCCCTGGGATAAACGGCGGCTCAAACACCAAGCCACTGGTCTCGCCTGGAAGGCTCATGCTTGCCGAGTCTGTCGTGCACCCTGAGGCTCAAAGGGACAGGCAGCTCTTCCTGTTGACAATTCTCCTTGAATCTTCCTCCACCATGTTTCTTTCTCTTTTTTTCTTTCTTTTTTTTTTTTTTTTTTTTTTGAGACAGAGTCTCGCTCTGTCACTCAGGCTGGAGTGCAGTGGTGTAATCTCAACTCGCTGCAACCTCTGCCTCCCAGGTTCACTCCATTCTCCTGCCTCAGCCTCCCGAGTAGCTGGGACTACAGGTGTCCGCCACCGGGCCCAGCTAACTTTTTTGTATTTTTAGTAGAGATGGGGTTTCATGGTGTTAGTCAGGATGGTCTCGATCTCCTGACCTTGGCCTCCCAAAGTGCTGGGATTATAGGCGTGAGCCACCACACCTGGCTTACAATGTTTCTTTACACTTGTGAGAGATTTAAACTTTTTAAAAAGTCATGTTCAACTTCTCTGGATCTATTTTTCACAAAGTATAGCAAGTGATAACTAAATGACCAGAAGTCACTAAACCAATAAATAAGACAAAGAGATGGAATGATGACTCAGGCATATCTCATTCTGATGAGCTCAAAATACTCTATACAGACTGATGACCTTTTAAATGAAACTCACCGCATCCCCCCGGGAGCCACAGGTGTGGAGCTGTGAGGCTGTGCAGCGAGGGGTGGACCCATTACATCCGCCTGGGCCAAGGGACCCTGGCAGGTCACTTAGCTTAGCCTCACCTGTAAAATTGCAAAGAACTACACAGCAGCGTTAACGTCCTCAATGGTGAAATGTGAGATGCCTGGGAACCCTAATCTCGCTCAGCATCAGGAGGATGGAAGGCAGGCTCGCTCTCAGGAGAGGGCTGGGCCCTGTGGAACCAGGGCTCTGCCTCCAGGGGCCGCCCCGGATCTTCGCTCTGCAAACACTGGCTTCAGAATCACTGCCTAGGTCTCAGTTCACCCTCATAACCCAAGGCCTGGGTCATTGCTCAAGACATTTTACGTTGGCTAAAAAGCAGGCTGATCTTGTGTAACGGTTTTTTCCACGTATTTCTCCTCTCCCTCTATTTTCACCGTGTTTACATATTTCCACAACACCACGTACTACAACACCGAAGGGAGGAAGGTACTGTGAGAACTGGGCATAAATCAGAGTCACGTGAAGAAACGAGAGACGGAAAGAGCCGTGGAGTTAGTCTCTCCAGTTGAAACACCAAGACGATGGAACTAAGGTTCGAGCATGTTCTTCAAAGGTTTTAACTTCCCCAATGGAAAGCTCCTGTTCACCCGGCAGGTCCGGACCGAGACCGAGACCGGGACCGAGACCGAGACCGAGACGGAGACCGAGACCGAGACGGAGACCGAGACCGAGACCGAGACGGAGACCGAGACCGAGACCGAGACGGAGACCGAGACCGAGACGGAGACCGAGACCGGGACCGGGACCGAGACCGAGACGGAGACGGAGACCGAGACCGGGACCGGGACCGAGACCGAGACCGGGACCGGGACCGAGACGGAGACCGAGACTGGCAGACGAGACCGAGGACGGAGACCGAGACCGACGGAGACCGAGACCGGACCGACCGAGACCGTAGACGGAGATTGATGTAGACTGACCGACCGAGACCGAGACCGGGACCTGACCGAGACGGAGACCGAGACCGAGACCGAGACGGAGACCGAGACGGAGACCGAGACCGAGACCGAGACCGGGACCGAGACCGAGACCGAGACCGAGCGAGCGCCGTGTCCTGAGTCCCAAAGGAGAGGCCGGGCTGCCCTCCTGGGCCCGCGGGCACCGTCCTGGGGACTCTGTGCGGGGCCTCGGAACCCACCCACGGCGCCTCCCCGTCCCACTCCCCGGGGCGACCCGCGCCTCCGCTGCGGCTCCGGTATCCGGTTCGCACACGCCGTGGACTCACGAGCGCCTCCTGCTGGAGTCACCACCTCGGAGTCTCAGCAGCTGTCTGGGAATCGGGGGTTTGTGGATGAAGCGCGCGGGACCGGGGAGCACGTCCAGGCAGAGAGGACGCAGCAAACCCAAACGCCTGCTCTTCCCGCCCTGCATCTGCGCGGTCTTCGCAGGGTCCTGGGAGCACAGAAGCCCGGGAGAGCCACAGCCGTGGACCCTCGGCAAGGCTCAGCCAGAGCGGAAGGCCGTGCACAGGACAGGTGAGCGGGAAACACCAGACCCAAGAAGTCAGGCTTCCCCTGCAAGCCGGACCGAGCTTCCCAAGCTCAAAGAAGGCAGCAGCGTCCGAGAGACGTGGCGGTCAGGGAATCCTATGACGCCCCTCCCTGGTCACCTTACTTCCCTGAGCCGGTCGACCACCTCTGCTGAAGACGATGACTCAGAAAGAAAAAGAAAGGGCGGCCCAGAGCTTCTTTCCTTTCATTCCTCCCTTGCTCATCAGTGAGTCAATGGGAGAGAGTTTTGTTAAAATGTAGCACACTGTGAAGTGAAATTACTTATTTAGTTCAATATTTCCATTGCTCCAGGAAGAACAAAATATATGTGCAATAGTGAGATATAGATTGTCTAATTTCAGTGATTCTGCACACAAGTTAAATGCTCTTTTATTTTTATTTAAAACTGCTGTCACACAGTATAAAGACAAATGGTAAAAGCATGCTAATAGTTTAGACTTCTAATCTTTATTTAAAATAGCATTAAGGAGCACATAAAAAACACGACGGCAAGTCAAGAAATCGTGGAAGAAGAAAAAAGCTGTAGAGTTGAGTCCATTTGTGACCATTTTTCCTCCTTATTGAACAAGTGGCTCATATTTTCATTCTACTCTGG